ATGTCACCGTCGAACGACCAACTCGTCATTTCCTTATTCTGGTTCCACTCGATGCGGCGTCACTCAACCCAACTCAATGCGCAATCTTCGTTAAGAAACCTTATGAAAGATTTTTATGTCAAAGTAGTTTTCAGATGATACATGATAGTTATATTAACGCTTGAATCAAAAACTATGAAATGGACAAAATGTTATACTTTTATGTGACTCCACATCCTATATATGATTTAATTAAACAATTTTGTGAGTTAAGCATGAGACAACGAAGGTGGAAAGCACACTAAAAGTATTATATTTAGGATATTCGCATAAGCTTATATTTAAGGCTAAACTTACACATACATCTAGTCTGGAAATGATTTTTTTCAGGTTTTGTAGGGATTATTTTGTTTGATTGCATGGAGGATTTTATCATGAGTTGACATCAGTTAGAGAACCACTGGAAAGCCTGGGAGTACTGGACAGCTGTTTCGTCCTTATTTGAGACTCTTCAGCAGTACGATTACCACCCAAAGAAAAATCTAGCGCAACCTTGACATTTAGAGCTATAAGCATTTACTATCAATCTACAAACGACGAAGTTCAATATCACATCGAATTGCAGAAAATAGTTGAAGGATTTAAAAAAGGGTTAATGTGATATGGTTGATATAGCTGTTTTCGATAGTTTCGTGACTTCACTCACTATTCATCTCTTATTGTTTACAAGCAATGCTCAAAAGACGTGCAATTGCTCATGATTCTCAGGACTTTTCTGGAAGCGACGCAAGAAAAATTACTGGAAGTTTCGATGGTTGGTAGCTAGTAGTAGTTCAATTTACGATATCCAATTTTTATGGTTTAACAACTTACCAGTACACACTAATATTCTTCACAGTTTGAAGTCAAACAACAAATGACCCAAGATGCTAGTTAACTGCACCAAATTTTTCAGTATAAAGATTCTCCTTCACCTTCTTTCAAACTTTCTTGACTTTAACGCCTAAGTATAAAAACGAAATGGTATTTGAATATAGAAGCTCAAAAGGGACAGCAATGAATTCCAACAAAATTCCTCAGGTCAGAGTAAGTGGACAAGTTGGCAGCGAAATTTCCCGAGACAACCACAAAAAACTTTGTCATTTTAAGGATTCTGATAAATATAAGGAATCTTATAAACAAAATCAACACAATACCTGTAAGTTCATTTAAATATAATTCGAAGACGTAAAGAATAGTTTATCAGATTATTCAAGTGCACAACACAATTGAAAGCGAAATAATGGAGTGTTAAAGTTACAGACTGAAAGAAAATACTTTCCATTACCGAAGTTGCATAAAATCACTGAAAAGGATGCGATAGAATAGAACTCCAAAAACTATTAGAGAAAGTTCCGTGCTGAATCAAAGTATTGCCTATGTAGAGAACTCCACTGTGTGCTAACCATAAAATATCAGAACTGTGAAATTCATAATCCCACATATCTAGTCACCCGGATATGTGACCATGAATATACACTCGTTCACTATACAATATTTTGTTTTATTCCATATTTGGCAAGTGAATTCATACCTACTTATGCACATACAATGGTATCATAAAGGTGAAAGTTGTTAAGAAATCAATACGATAGGTAGTTGACTAAAAATGTATGTTATCAAAATGACACTGCCTACATTAGTTATGAATCTCATATTTTGGCACTCTACTTTTTGCCGTAAGGATCGATAAAGCATCTTTTTCTGGAACCTTAACATAGCAATAATGCAATGTAACCATCGACTACATTTTATTATAAGGACGAAAGTATGAAATTACTGATAAGGTATGGCAATAAATTCCACGTTTTATGAAACTGATTTCACAATCTATTCAACAAACAATAAACATATTTCCTTTGGAAAATAATAAATTAATCGCTAGGAAAAGCTTATGTCTACACTTCAGTACCTTTTTATACTTGTCAGTGTTTTCATTTCATTGGCATTGAAGAGAAAACCGCTGTTCGTCATATCTCAAATATTACTTTTTGTATTTCAAAGTTTACATTTCAAAACTTACAGTTTTTGGAATTAGATTACTTAGCAGTACCACTTAAATCAACAGATACACGATCCTAATAGTGTGAAGATACTGACCAATACTTTGAAAATACGTCTTAGGATGTTTCGCCTACCTTCTGCACCTATCAATTTAAAATGACTTCACACGCATGAAAACTGTTTAAAAATAAAATGGTAGTTATTATTCCTGAGAAACCAATCACTCAAAAAACTTTGGAATGCATATAAAGGTTTGTTTGGTGTTTACTAAACCATGTAGTTTGATAAAATATGTAACAGTACATCCATGAGTATTTTGCACCACAGCTCATTACTTTAGCCTCCTTAACTTTAGGATATTCACAGTTAAAAATAATGGGACACTATATATTAAAGAATTTCTGTCGGAGACTTCTGAAGTGAAACAATTGATTAGTCAGTATCAAAACGTTGAAAAAAAGGATTACCCAATCGGTGAGAACGTGAACATCCACAGGCTGAAACACATTTTACACAAACCAAATCGCTTCTGATCAGTAAAAATGATTGAGATGGACTTAAATCTTAAGGAACTCTGTATTAACATAATAATACAATTTGAGCATTGCTGTAGAGTATAATTCCAAAATCGAATAATATCACTTTATTTAGAAAGCAGTGATACAGCACCGCAGATATTCATGAAATTACTTGATGTTGGTGATGAATGTTTCGATAGTCCAAAAGGTCGTTGAAGGTGTTTACGAATCGAGGTGATATTTAGAGGAAATTCCTAAGAAAGGAGTCTTAATTGGGTAGCGAAAACCAAAAATTCTGTACACTAGATACTACAAAACATATATTTACTAACCATAAGTATTTTGACAGAGAACATCGTATCAATTTATTTGATCCTGCCATTACATTATGTGATTACCTACAAATGTCATTCTATATGGTTTTCCCAAAGACTACCCATGCATATTTGTTTTCCCGATTTCGTGCTGTCACTTTGCTTTACATATGGACCCAGTAAGGCTGAATCTTGTATTTCTCTACAGACTTTATAATATCTGTTGTTTCATGAGTCGACGTTCTAACGGATATAAGAGAAACCAATACTATTGTCAAATGGTAGTTCTTTTAACTCATAAACAGACTTTTATATTGATTCATCAGGATTCCTAATTATCATACTTTGATAGATGTCGTAATTTCCAGTTCCTGGACTGTCATACATGCTTGATTTATTTCCTAAAAAAAGATTATATCCTTGTACTAACCCTTTTTAATGAGTATATTAATTCAACCTAATCTTCCATAAATCTGCTTCTTAACGATGTCAGCAAAAGCCATAATATATCCATTTCCTCATCCACAATTGTAGCGTTTTAATTAAAGCACTTTTATTAATTAAATGCGACGAAAATTCAACATAATAGCTTTTTACCTTTCTAATCATCTAAATGGCGTTCGATTTAATTACATTTAAATAGTTTCAAAGTACTTCATTTCCTTTTTAATGCTGAAATACTGCAACGTTGATAAGATAACAATCAGTAAATTGCCTTATATCAAAAGAATCTACAACACGGAATTATGTTTTTAGTTATCGAGCTAGAATCTAGCAATAACTAACATTCCGAGCTTCTAAATAAGTCATATTTAAAAATTCCACACTAACTAGAACTTGATAATTGGAAGCTGGATATTTTTTAGAAACGAACGATCTGAACTAGTACGATTGTATACAAAGTTGTACGTATAACTTTAAAATTGAAGAAATGTTTTGGAGTTCTATAGGCTACAAAGAAGCTACTCAACCACAACAATTCATCAGGTATTTTTCACATGTTTTGTGGTATAACCCAACAACATATTGAAGCGACCTTGAAAGTGTTTTACATAACTTCTTTTGCAATCATTTCTATTTATTTATTTAATATCTGTAATAATCAGATATTCTTAAGGAAGATATAATAGAGAACACTGAAGCAATATGACTGGACTTGCATGAATCGAACTGAAAAACAAAACAAATGCTATTCGCACATACCAACTTCAATACATGCTGCGTCAAAGTGCACTGATTCTAGATTCTTCATAACAAAATTATTACCACTTTACTTTGTAGGGTGATTGCGAGATATGCTGCTGTCTGAAATGGTGGGTGATATCGCAGTCTAAGAAACACGTCGGGAATGAGTCATTCTTACTAGGTAGAGTCTAAAATCACTGCTTGTTATACTTAATGTGGGTGGAAGTTTGGACGCTTAACCAGGAAATAAACCCATTAATATGTGACTAGTCTCAGTTTACAATTAAACGATAAACCCCAGTATGTCATTTAAGATCGTATAGGAACAGTATTATCGATAAACATTTAAATCCCAGAAAGTCTCGACATTCTGGTGAGGCAAACTAAATTCACACTTATTTTGATCAGAGAAAACCAGGAATTTATATTCTCGATTACTGCAATCAAATAACAATGCAGAATGTGATATTTCAAATATTCCAAAGTAAACCTAAACACTAGTACATCCACCAAGGTTACAATGGGTATTGATATAAGTATAAAACTTGGGCACTGTGGTAGAGTATAACTCCATTTGGATAAGATTTTATTTTGATAAATCACACCGTGTTGTACAGTTATATTAACTGATGACGTTTCAAGCACAACGGGTATTTAGATTATATCCTTTAAGAGGAAAAATAAATCATATGATACAAACAGATACATATATTTAACAAATAACACATTTGAAGAGATCTGTTTCCATTCTTTGAATGAGTCAAACGTCTCAGATCAGTGTACTATTCTGCCTACATTTTTTTCATCCAAAAGTCAAAACATTTCTTCACTGGAAATTGCACTGCCTTCCGGAATAATTCATGAAATGATGAATTTGGAATACAAAGTGAAGGAAATATATAATTACTGACAGTCAAGTGGAAAAAAAGAAGTGAGCAGCGAAATACTGACTTTCAAGTTATTACCATAAATGGATACTAACTGATGTTTGGTTGCAGTAATTTCTTATGTTCAGTTCAGAATATTTCCTATTATAAATGGAAATAAATCAGTAATCACTGCAAACTACTGCAACGGAACGAGGGAAAGTATATGCCTACATAAGACAGAGTATGAAGCTATTAAAATCCACAATGGATTTTTGTAGACATCAAAAGTAATAACATGAAATCAGCTGAAATCGATATGGCTTATTTAGAAATATATAAGTATCAGAAGTGGTTTCCTAGTGTTACATAAGCAATATTATACTTTTCCAGGATATTTGTCATGAGTGGTTATATTTTGGAACCTGTAATCTGACCAACTTCCACTTCTCACCTACTATCACAAAAAATCACATCTGCATCATGAGACAAGAAATTTGTCTCCGTGCGGCAATAGGATAAATAACTGGGAAGTAGTCTAGTTCCTAGTTTGTTGTAACTCTAAACTGTCACTTGATGAATGCACACAGGTCACTTTGTTACTTTTAAAAGATACTGGACGTACAAGTTCTTCGAGTCCAACGTTATATCTCAAGCTACGAAACAGGGCACCAAACCACTTTTTGAAGCAATAGAAGTAACACTAAAGAGGTGACTTGAAGGAACTTCAATTATTCGAGGCCACTGAAGTATCAGTTAAGAAAGTGCACACAACCTGCATGGAAGATATGCTTGCAGTATATCCCAGTATGAACTTATTTTTGGTCTCAATAAAACTGGCCAAATGAAGCTTTATTGGGCTGGTAGAATCACACAATGACAAATCTAAACAACCATGGTGCTACTGACGGATATAAGTCCCTATCACAGCACAGTTTGAGATTGGATTTTACTACAACATATGTGTATTTTTAGACTGCCTGACACATGAAATAGATAAGTAAGTTTCGCATAGACATGAATTTATTACATAGAATACAAAAGTTAGATGCATGTTGCTCTAACTTAATGTAACTTTATCCAAGTGACCATCAACCAGAATTATCTACAAATAATGTTTCTAAGTAATCAATAATCACAGACAAGTATTCTTTCCGAACAAGTATTTAGCGGGAACCTACCTATAACGAATGACGATGTACGTATTTTGATGACAGATGGTTCGCCAACAGTGCCACCAAGTGTGAAGTCATACCTTCAACCTTGAAAGGTTCTTTAGAAGAGTAGGTTGACCTTACATCTTCTGTTAAGCCTGAAGAACAAAACAGCCGCACCTAAGTTAAGCAAAAAGGGTAGCAGGTGAATGTTAGAAAACGTATAAAATGTGATTCTTAACAGTGGGTATTCCGAACGGTAAGTACATGCGACGACCACTTATTCCTTAAGTGAAAAACTACAGAACATACAATTAAATAAAACTGATTATGCCATAACATACAGCAGTTTGAACTCAAGTCACAAAATGACCACTTTTACCGTACTCACAAGTGGTGCATTGTACGGATGTAGTACAAATGTTTCTGCTGCCTGCTGACTAATTTCTCAAATACTGCTATAATTAAGTTCATGTTGAAGGTATATTAATCGGCACTATAGTAATAATGGTGGTATAACTTGAAATTTTAATAATTAGATGGGTGGAAATAAAGCAGAAGCACGAAATATAAAGCAAGAAACCATCTAATATACTTTGTGGAGAACGAATAAAACTTCCAACATAATTCTAACACCCACCTGTTTCCTTTTGTCACTTATGGAATAAGACAACAAAAAAATCTACAATTGGATAAACCTATATATTTGAGAAACACAAATGAACTAGTTCAATAAAATAAACATTTACATTCATTGAAAATAGAGTACCATTACATTTGACAGTAAAAGTTGTTCAACATATCGGCGATTAACTTAATATCTCATTAGAAGCACAATGCCAATATATATGTGTCTGCATATTCTCATCCCACCTGCACTCATATCCGCAGTACATGATAGAAGGCCAAAGGCAAGTACAATCATGCCGTATGGTGATAATGTGGCAAATGTTCGCGTAGTGATGCAAACGCGGAAGGTTGTTACGACGATGAGACGACTATAGCAGTCATTCATACACTGTCTGATTTGTTATGATTTGTTGTTGATATTTGGACTTTCGATGAATATATAAGGGAAGCAACCGATTCGAGATGCAAATTTAACTTTACCGTTGTTTACGGTATAGTCAGTATTGCATGCCCGTACACTAACTAGATATCTATGAAGAGAAAACTACGCCTCCAAGATACTGATTAGTAATGAAAATAAGGAAGAGGTATTTAGGTTACAAAATACTTCCTCAGTTCTGCCCAACTTAACTGTCTGTCTCATTCTTTGCTTTGTTTCCAATTAACAGGATCACTACCCAGTACTTGCTTTGTAAATGCACAAGACTGGCCAGTTTCGGCAGTATGAATAGGATGTGTTGAACATCCTTTACCCAGAACTGCAAAATGTCTAGATACTTGTTTACAAACCGTCTTGACAGCCACCCACACACTGCCTTCGCGCTAGGTATTCCCCAGAGAGGAAAACCGTTGCGACATCAGTATGTTAGATTACCTGGAGACCGTAATATTTGGGAAAACATCCAATGTAATAAAATTCATACTGGTTGTCATTAGTTTGAAAGGAGGCAGTACTACATAAATGTAACAAATAACGTCGCCCACTGAGCCGAGCTACTCACGGAGGACTGGATTTCCTAGACTTTATAACATCATCAAGACGGTTGAAGTAAGAAACTGATACTCTTTGATGTAATCACAGCAAGATACTGCCGAAGTTTCAGCTCTGAGGAAGTTCGGGGCAGTTTCAGAAATCTCAGGAACTACAACATAATTCCTATGTAAGTCTGTAACTAGGTTGCACCAAGAGGTTAATATTACTACTAGTTTACAAGCAAGCGAGAACTAATTCACGTTTGACTAGAATGAAAGCTTGCAGCTTATTTGCATAGAAGTCAAACTCACCATATTGGACATCTGAACTGATAGCGGAACCACAATTAGTACTAGGGAAGCAGCACACCAGTCTAAATGAGATGGGTAGTTACATAACAGCAACTTAATTGTTGAAATTCACTGTAGATAGAACATCACTAGGAGGCTTTGACAAAATGTCTTTTTGTTATGAATTTTAAACTTCATAATAGATACATTTAATGCAACTGTTTTAAATATTTAGGTCAAGCGTCGAAATAACTTATGCTAGTATTAACTAGCAGTCGTACTCTTATTATAACATCATGTACACAAGAAAATCACAACTTAAGTACTGTTCGAAATATAGTGATGGCCATGTATGGCTTCAGAAATGTGTAACAAGAATGGCTACAATTACGTTTACGATAGCAGTGACGTTGAAAGAACCTCTATGATGATACTACACTGAGGGTCCAATAGGCCCGATTTATGTAATCGTTAATCATATCAAAATTGCTTACACCAAAAAGATGCATTATTTATAATAAAGGTTTGTGCTTATCTTGAGACCTAGACCTCAGCAATGTTTAAAGGCATCCACAGACATATGATAAGACATGACCGGATGAAGCCGGTTCGTGGCCTCAACAGTGAGCAACCATCTGTCTACAGAAGATTACGTTACTATCACTAACGCAAAAGTAATGATTTCTGGTACAATTTATATTTGGAAAAAGACAAATGGACAATGGAGACATTGGACGGAGTCTTGCAACGCATTAAAATCGAGTAAAGTCACATATACGAATGAAAGCGAACAAATTAACGTCTATTTATCGCAAGGGCGGAAGATCGGGTGCAAGACTGCTGACACTAGCCAATTAACGTTGACGCGAATGATGAACAGATAACGAGTAATAAATGCAAACGATTCTCGCCTAGGTGATTCGCAGTTGCCTCGCATTTGATCTCACGATACGTTTCTGAAATATTAGGTAAACTCAGGTTAAGTATGGAATCGAAAATTAGACGGAATGTCAACGCACAGATCTATGCTACGCAGAAACGGAAAACGGCTTTCAGGTAACAAGCGATTACTCTCACATAAAGCCAGCCTACTAGAGACTGTAGGTCATAACTAGTGTGAAACTCACCTTGTTTTTATGGGCGACCATAGTTGTACCTTAAAGTTGACATTATTGCAAGAAATTCCAAGAAACCTACCCTGATCTTGGTGGGGCGGGAGATCTGCTATCCATGCCGTAATCATAATAACTGTAGTCGTAGCCAGAATCATAATTTGACATTCCTCTGTCACTATCCCTGTAGTCGCTGAAGACAATGAATGCCCGTAAATGACACTTACTCATAATTCCCACTGCTGTAGCTTCCATAAGTGTCATAATAGTCACTTGCTCGCGATGGCCCAGAAGGGGGTGGTAGCTCTCGGTACCGATCATAATCTCCATACCCATCATAACTGGACCTTGGGGGAGCAGGCTTTGAGGGGTAGTCTCTGACAGGAGAGATGGGTTCAGGAGGGGGAGGTCCGCGGTACCCGGAACCGTGCGGTGGCGGCAGGGGCTCTCGACTTGGACCTCTAGCCATTGACCTGGGCGGCTCCCCACGGTCAGCTGGTGGATATCTACCATTAGCACCATTTGTAGGGTAGTCGTAACCTGAAGTCTTAAAAAAGCCCTAAGCTACTTACCCCGTGAACTGCTACGCGGAGGCGGACCATACGGACCACTATAACCATCCATCCAAGCAGGGCCATAACGACCCATTCGTGGAGGTGGAGGACCGGAGTTCATGTAGCGAGGAGGAGGCTGTCCACGCTGACCTCTTTCCGTAGGATAATCACGATAACGACCATCGTTTTTACGCCTCGCAGGCCCAGGACCCCCACCACGTTTCCCGTGACTTCGCTCAACATTGATCTTGACTCCATCGAGAAAAGCGTTCTGGAGACCTGCTATAGCTGCCTCAGCTTCGGACTCTTTCTCCATGTGCTACAAATCTCTCCAGATGTAACCAAGCCAACATACCACGAAGCCAAAGTTGTTAACTACATCACATTCTGTGACTTTTCCGAATGCCTCGAATTTCTTACGGAGGTCAGATGCTTTGGACTGTGGATTCAGGTTCCCAACGAATATCTTCACCATGAGTGCGCCAGAAGTGAAACCAAGTTGTAATGGTTGCGCTGTGCAACGCTAGTTTCAACACCTATTGAAAGAGTATAACAAACTCGATGATTTCAGTCTGAGCTGATTGACTAAAGATCTGAATAAAAAACTTTGTTGGCTTCATTTCTTGAAGTGGTATCTTTAACATTTAAATCTAAGTGTTTTCATTAGACATTTTCACGATTAGTATATATATATATATAAATTTGTCGTAAACTGCCGCTAACAAGTAATTCTTTTTCAGTTCACTAATTCCTTTCAGTGGCACTTTGAGGCCCTGGAGGATTCCGACACAATGAACCTAGCTATTATTTTGATGCCACTTAAGCAATTTTGAGTAGGTTAGAAGCTAGGGGCTTTTTCACTTACATCATTGGTCAGGCTACATTTTGGGGGAAAGTTAGCATGTCATCATTAGTTGACTTTATACTCCTTTTCTCTCTTCTAATATATTCACATTTCTTTTAAATATACGTAAATTACAATCTGGTGAAAGTCATTTTCAAATATGAATTTGTGAATTACCACATGTCATCTGTCATCATTTTCCATACCATATGCCATGTTTTTCGACGCTGATTTGATATCTGTAGATGGTGGATAAAATTTCATTAGAAGCCAGATCTGCTAAGACCATAGACATTTTGTCGCAGATTTATCTGCATAGTTCGTCTACTCGGAATTCTACTTCGAGGCTACCACTGCTTCCTCCCGAGATAACAAATAAGGGTTGGAGGTCTCATTCTTAGTGGATAGTTTGTCTTAGCAAGTGCGACAGATCTTGGCAAGTCTCGTCCCAACAGCTGTAACTCGGTATCTTACATCAGGACGTCAGAAATGCATGGTCATCCGACCATTAGGTTAACAATCAGGCAGATGCCAGCAAAGCGTGAGGAATATATGTCGAAGATGGTGATTACACACCCGGCAAATATAAGGACCTAAGCTAGTTTTACACTTAGATCTTTTTAGTACTTTCAGGATATTATAAGTGTGTTTATTGTTTATTACTGTCTCGGTTAAGTTTTGAACTCGTTCATTTGTAACCATTCGTTGTAAAAATACTTTCCATTCGATGCCAAAATTATGTATTCAAAAGTATTACGCACTTCGAGCGTCAACTGCTATGATCATCGAATCCAGGCGGCCATCATCCTCCATTTTTCTTCAGTGATTTGATAGTTGAAACCAATACTCTGCTTTCACTTAATTGATTGCAAGGTCAGAAGGAAAGTACTACAAGAATCCCAGAGTATACATGCGAATTTCGTTCTACTAAGCCTTATTTTGCGGGAACTTTCCTAAATTATTCCCAGAGATCTAATAGAGCAGATAAACTTATCGCCCTCAGGGTTTCTGAGGTGGCTAAACGTATAAGATCATTACAACACAAAGAAGGACGCAAAACACCAGATACGTTGTCCCAAAATGCCATTGAAATGTGCACTGTGAACGCGAGCATCTTCAGGAAAAGTCACCTCGGTCCGGTTTCCTAATAACCCTAAGGTTCACCAACTTATGTGTTGCCATTATGTTTCTTAAGCTTCAAGGTGACATGAACTTAGTCAGAAGATTCGAATCCAATGCCACAGCTCCCGACAAAGTACGTTGCCTAAGTGGGAAACTACATCGCAGCGCTCCTGTTATCCTTTTGGAGGTTATTTGTGTCAATAAACCATCAGCAAGTATCTGAAGTAACTATGAACCGACTGCACAACTTGCATCCATACCAATACTACCTGAGACGTATCTAAATATTAATGTCCATGATGCCATCTATGTATGAGAAGATAATAAAGTGGTGAGCACAGTGATAAATAAGTAAAGCGATAGCAGCCTACAGCCTATCCTGAGAATGAACACTCCTTTTCTAATAGGTCTTTACGCTATAAACGCGTCAAAAGACCCACGCCAAAAGTAAGGGAACACTTGCTAAATACAAACATGGGTGTGATTTATTAGCGCATGCAGTTTTTCTAATATGTACGTCACAAAATCAAAAGTTCCTTTGATCGAATCAAATTTTAACACCATGATCGGCTGGTCATAATAAGTATGGTAGGAGGGAAGGTGTTGAACTAAATGGTAGCTTACCGGACAGATATTGCCATCTCGTCTGTCCTAAATTTTCCCCTAGTTCAAAACGTTATCAAACCTAGTTTTTAAAAGCCACATCACGTTGTGTGGCCTGTCATGACAGTTGCGATACCACTAGGAATATCGAATGCTACAAGGTTAAAAAATATATTTATGTCGTCAGACGAATGATACGATGATTGTCATATGCCAGTGTTAGCGTAACAATGTCTGTGAGGAGTGGAGAAGCTTCACAAAGTGAAAACCCGTCCCCACAGACCAGAAGAAAGTACGCTGCTATATTAAGCACGTTTCTGAAGGAGCTGTACAGTGGTAATATAGGTTTTCGTTTTCCCAATGAATTGAAAACAAAATGACATTGTTTTTACTGACATGTCGCTACTTAATGCTAATAGAATTGTCGGCCAAGTCTCATAAACTGTCAAGGTACAGCTCTTACCACGCTGGACCTCACCCTGTCCCTCAAAGACATTCAAAAACACCTTGTATAAACCAACGCGAAAACCAGATCACCGATAGGCGACTCAAGAATCCTTGATTCTCACGCCAACACATAATGAAAAATAAGGTGAGTACACAAGGTCTTAGAATAAATGTTATAACAATATATCACGATTATACATCTGACGGTTTTCTGCTGACTTCTTTCTGAACAGCGACCGATGACACGATGACTGGTGTATCGATGTCTCCGCGAAAATATAGGGAAGTTGGTTTTGAGCAAAGAACCATGAATTGATCGTTCAATCTTCAACTACATTGACACTCCCCGGCAAAAAAGGGATCCATCCGTTTTTTCCTCCACGACCAACACACGTTGACTTGGATGCCATTGCGAGGACCTGGGTCACACGGACAGAGCTGAAATGGAAAACAAACAGAAAAGCCAACACACCACAAGCATACCCACAGCACAATCTCAAACCTCAATGACGACCTGCGCCTCCAGATAAAGGCCTCCTCTTGACATCTTGCATTACAATCGCCACTTGCTAGGACGACTCTTGTAGAATGCAACGTGACCATAGCACCACCTCGTGATACTCCGCGCACGTCCTCGTATCTACTCACTACCAATTACCACTGCAATCGCTTGTCACTCATTCTGCCTCAGTTCTAGTAACGGTGACGCATGCGAGCCTCAGTCGTTTACACTCTTTCTCCCCGGCGTGTCGGACCGCAGCTAACAATTATCTCCGTGTGCATTTCATTCTCAGCAATAGCCTCCAAGGCGTGCGCGACCCATCTTCTGTCTTTAACATCATTCAATTCATTCACGGATGTAGAAGACTCGAAACAACTTCAGAAGTAATCACGACGAAAAATTTAACAAAATTATGCCATAACAACAAGATATAAAGACAACAAGTAAGCACAATTAATTCAAACACAAACTGATATGACACACCACACGTATATACAAACAGTACACACAAACTCGCGGATCATGTCTCGATGGAATTCCTTGAAGAATTGCAGGACTTACACCAGTACGCCTGCAACCCTTCACAGGTTGACGATTGTAAGTTGTGGAATGTCCGGACACAAACAAGATTAACCAACAACTACGATAATTGGAACTCACACAATTATTTAACACAAACATATGTACAATCAATACGTCAAATGTTGTGGATTCTGCCATGACGAACTACCCTGGAATAACTGTAGGACTTACAGCAGTACGCCTGCATTCCTTCTCAGGTTGATGATCCAAGTGTAAGTCGTCCGGACACAAACAGAATTACCAACAGATAGATGACAGATGATATCAATTCAGTATATACATTATGAACATATGTACAAAATCACACACGAAGCACACGAATCTGAACGGTAACACGCTTATATCACTGTACCGGAGAATATAGACGACTAACAAACATACGACGTATCTGATCAACCAAGCGTAGAAACAGAGTAATTTACACCAGAGATAATAGCATTCAAATAGTAAATTGGAACTTGAAAAACCTTTATTCACTCAAGTCAATTCAACAATTACCATCTCGTATACACTTGGCTTATCCTCACTAAACTGACTAATATCTTTCGTCTTTACAAACGCATCAACACTATCATAGTCATTGCACAAGATACTTGAGTTGATGGGCGTCTGTTTCATTGTGGATGACAACACCAACGACGACTGATTTATACCAGTTGATGAACTTAGCGGTGGATCACAAGCTGTTGTTGTTCGGCTTTCAAGATTACCACCACTGCTGTCTTTTACTATTAGCTGCGGTTTAGCACTATCATCTGATGATAGGTGGGCTACACGCTGATCAATTACACTGACTGTCTCACAAGTATCCATACCTTCTGCAACTGCATCTGCATTTCATTCTACTTCACTTTCAAGTTGTACAGAACCTTTGTTCAACTTAGCAGTAGTAGGCATATCCCTCATCTAATCATGATCAACCAAAGACAAATCTGCACTATCATGATCATTATCACGAATATTCACTTTACCATCAATTTCATCACTTTCAAACTCTTTAATAACAGAAGTAGATAGTTTGGGCTCGTCCTCACAAATCCTGGAAGGTTTTATATCTTCATTCTTACTAGTAATACCTTGTAAACTTGCGGAGTCAGAACTGTCCTCTGAGACTGTAACTCTCTTCTGTGACACTCTATTCAACAATGGCATACCAGTTGCAACTACAGGCTTCTTGACCGCACCGTTATCGTCACATATTTCGGAGTCAGACCCCGATTTCACACTAAGCTCAGCACTAAACTTGATCACTGATTCAAAGTTCATATTTGTATGCACTTCTTGAAAACGTGTAAAACACAACCGTGTTTGTCTTGCATCTTGTAACTTATCTGTCGTGGATGTAGCACGATAGCTGTTACAATCACTAAGTTTA